TTTTTTTTTGGTTTTTCTCCAGTACCGGGAACCGAACTCACAACCTTGCGCTTGCCAGGCAGGCGCTTTTGCCGCTGAGCTAAATCCCCAGCCCCAACAAAAGGGTATTTCCTGTTTGCCAAATTTTCTATATTGTGTTACTTCAATAATTTAAAAATATCTGGAAAGCAATCAAATGTAGTAGATATTCATAATCCAGCTTAAATGATCGTGCTTTAAAATAATAATAATAATAACAGTCCTGATGTTCCCCAGCTGGGATCGTTCAGGGCCCCTCCTAGCATGGCTAAGCCTGACAGGTAACCAGCAGCATAGGCATTAGTGATTGGCCAAAAGTTTATCATCAAAAAGAAAAAAATAAATAAACCTCACAATATTAAACATAATATGGTTATTTTGTACCATCTCCCTTGGGAATATGGAAATATTCTGCGAGTAATCGAAAGCTAACTGGCCCCACGCAGCCAGCCTTGAATCCTACCTAGACAGCAGCGAACCCACATACATAAAACACAACAATGCAGCTGGTATCAAGGCAATAGGCTGAGCACGTTTTTGCAAGGCAGTGAGTGCAAAGGGAGTCATGAAGTGGTGAGCACAGACAGGATGGGGCGGGGCAGGGAGCATTCCTCCACTCACTGAGTCAGAGGCTTCAGGGAGGAAATGGAACCTCGGGCTGCTTAAATAAAGGAAGGAGATAAGCATCTCATTTTACTGCTCGCTTGTGTAGAACCTGAATGGAGAAAAGAATAACTAGAACCATGACCCTTCAGTAACGGGCCAACTGCTCTGGTCTGTTACCAAGCCACTTCTCACCCTGCCCCACAGCCCTGCAAGAGTTCCAGCTCCAGCACCCTGTACCTGGATCCCAGGGGTTGGGACTAATGTCAGACCGAAGCTGTGTGTGCCAGGGCAGGCAGTAGAATGAGTCTAAAAACATGCTAACTTGCTAACAAGGTGCCTTGTTCATCTTTGCCTGTTTCCTTAGTTTAATATTCATCATTTCACATTCCTTTTCCCCTAATCCAAACGACAGCAGATCCTTTGCAAGTTGTCATAATCCTTGCCGTCTCCATGGGTGTAGCTCATAAACCCCCTCCCCAGCATCCCATTACTCTCTGTAGATGTGAAGAAATTTGGAAGAAAATCAAAATACTAGTAGTAAATTCTTAAGCTGTGTAGTTGAATAAAACTTTTGGCCAAGAGAAACCGGTTTCAGTTCCCCCTTCAATCTTCTCAAAAGTTACCACCATGGCGTACCCCACATAACTTAACCTCTTCACAAACCACATTGATATTCACATGAAAAAGATCACACTAATTTCCCACACACCTGAACTGGCTGGAATTGCTTCTTTCTTTCCAAAGAATAAAAGGACCCAGGGAACAACCTTCATCCTAGCAGGCTATACCCAGGCCATGGGCAGGAAGTTGTTTTATTTTTAAGGGAGAGGTGGCAGTGATTAGAACATCCAAATGATTTTTGGTGTGTGCGTGAAGATCAGCTTCTAAACTTCGGATCTGCTAAAACAGGGGTCACAGGAGAAGCAACGGTGTATTTGAAAAAGGTAGTAAAAAATCTCTAAGAGAACTGATGTAATAACCTAAACAGTCTTTGTTTTCTTTTGAAAAAGGAAGACCTGGGATCCCTGATGAAGTCAGAAGTCCTCCCACCCATGGCATCTGGTTCACCCCACAGAAAAGAGGTACAAGGGGAGTCTACAGGTGCCAGTTCAGAGCGCTCATAAGTGCTCAGGCAGGTGGTAACACCAGATCTCCTGGAACTGGCTATGTTCCCCTCATCTGACCTCAAGAGCTGGAGAGGCAATACTGACTGATGCATTTCCTTTCCTTTTTTCCCCTATCCCTCCCAGTCTGCGGTCTCTTCAAAGGATATTCAAAGAAAAGAGAGGTTGATGCATCTGCCCAATTGGGAAGTGGTTTTGAATAAACGCTGATGTTCTGACACACACACTTTGCCTGGAAATTGGTTCCTTGTGCTTCCGTGGAACAGAGCTGTGGTCTGTGGAGTTGTTTGCCAGTGGCTCCCAGAATGTGGAAGCCTTCTTTCTCTCAGAATAGCTGACTCTGCTCTTGATTTAAATGTGTCCCCTAAACGTTCACGTGTTGAAAACTTAATCCTCAAATTTAGATTAATGATATTTGAAGATAGAGCCTTTGGGAGGTAATTAGAATAGACGGGTTAGTGAGGGAGGATTTTCATGGTGGCACTAGTGCTTTCACAAGGAGAGGCCTGAGCTGGCTGCTTGGTCTGTCTCACCATGCAATGCCGCCTGCCATGTTGTGACACCACAAGAGGGTCCTCACTACATGCCAGTGCCATGTTCTTGGACTTCCTAGCCTCCAGGCCTGTGAGCTAAATAAACCCTGTTCTTCACGGCTTGCTTACTCTCAGATAGTCAGATGTTCTTCTAGCAACAGAAAACCAACGAAGATATTCCACGTGTGGATGTCTTGAACTCTTGGTATTAGATTAGGATTGATGGTAGGATAAGGCTCAGTGGACAGTCCCCCCCCCCAATTCTTTTTTAGAACAGCAAGAAGGAGGAAGGGGAATGTCTCTTGGACCAGAGATAAAGAAAGAAAAAGAGGGCTATTTAATTAAAAAAAAAAAAAAACTATTGTGTTTTTAAAATTCTATTTGTGATTTATGAGATTGTAGATGGGAAAGACCCTGTTTGATCAATTCAAATACCCTATTAGGATGAGGGCTTTGCTCTTATAAGATTATCATAGTGGAATCTATTTCTTGATGAACCATCATGTAATTCACATTCTGCCCGAAATATATACTTTTTTTGGTGGTGCTAGAGATCAAACTCAGGGCCTTGCACATGCTAGGCAAGCACTCTAGCACTGAGCTACACCATTAGCCCCATCATATACTTTCTTAAAAAAGAAAAAAATATATAATTATCTTCCATATTCAATTCACAAAATGAATAGACTTGTTCAATCTCTGCAAAGTTCCTTTGGAGGACAATTAATAGCTTTGGATTCATTTGCAGAAAGGGAAAAAAAGTCAGGCCAGCTTGACCAAATCCATGAAGGAATCGAAAAGAATCCAAGTGTTCCAGGATTTGTAAAACAGTAAACCTATTTTTAGTGGGATAAGAGATTGGAAGGTGGGAGGATCGGAACCAAGACAGGCTGACCAAGACAGGGCTTCCTTCTCTGGTCTTGTGCCCCTGTCTCTTACTTTGCACCAGAGGCATCAGCCTGGCAAGGCTGGTAAGCATAGCTGTGCTGTGCCTGGCATGGCTGGAGCTGGGGAAGCCTCTCCCCCACTGCCCCATCCCTTGGAGAACTTGAACGGTACCTTTCAGTATGTAGAACCAAAATCCCAAAGTTTTGGTTCTAGTTGGGAGCACTGGTAAGGAAAGGTTTTATCTTATCCTGGCTGATCTGAGAACTTGGTATAGAACCTTGAAGAACCAGCTGAGCACATCTCTAATATTTAAATTGCAAATTTCTGTACTATTCTGGGAACCCTTCCACAAATGACTTCCAGCCCCCAGTGATGGTTATGATCCATCTATAGGCCTTGTGTCCCACAGCCAATTCAAATCCCATGAGCCGTGACTACTGTCCAGCTCTGTGTTAGCTGCTCCCCTAATCTCAGTTATCTTTACTCTGAACCTTTTTATTTTCCACCAAAGAGACTGTAGCAGTCAGTTTTCCATTACTATAACAAATATGTGAAGCAACCATCTCATAACGAGGACAGGCTTATTTGGGATCATAGTTTTAGAGGTTTCAGTCCATGCTTGGTAAACCCCATTGCTTTGGACTGTGTCAAGGTAGCACATCATGACAGAAGTATGTGGTAGAAAAAGCCACTCACTTCATGGCCAGAAAGCAAAAAGAGAGAGGAAGAGCCTGGGGTCGCACAGTTCCCTTCAAGCTCATGCGTGCAGTGACCTAAAAGCCTCCCTGTAGGCCCTACCTCTTAAAGTTTCTGCCACCTCCCAGCAGTGCTAAGCTAGAGACCAAGCCTTTAATACATGGACTTCTGGAGGATGCTTATCCAAATCATAGCAGTGACCACCACATTCCTTGAGCTCTTAACAAATGATGTTTCATGATTCTGTTTCTCAGGGTAAAACAAACACCAGTGTCTCCAAGAGCCTCCTTCTTTATCTCCAATGCTCTTCAAGTAACCATTTCTCAGCTTTTTTAGGCTTCTCTGTGCATCTACCCCTTATACCTTCTCCACTCTTGCCCTCTGCGTTAGTCAGCTTTATTGTTGCTGAGACACAATATCTAATACTCACATTTAAAGGAGAAGAGATTTAATTTGGCTCACAGTTTGGGTGATTCAGTCCAAGACTGGCTGGTCTGGAGGCAAGAACATCATGGTGGGAGGTCATGGCAAGCAAAGCTCTTAGTTCATGGTGGCTGGGAGGCAGACAGTGGATACTGCCAGAGAGGAAGGTGCTAGGGATCACAACAGATCCCAGTGTCATACCTATCCGTGACCCACCCAGACACACCCAGAGGTATGCTCCACCAATCCCCAGGCAGATCTCAAAGCCAATCAAGTTGATGCTCCACTTTAACCATTCTAATCTCTCCCCTGTGCCTCCCCTGACACTGTTCTTTCTGACTTCAGCTACCATCCTTGGCTGGCTCTTTTTTCTTCCTACTACTGGCCACCCCCAGCCCCCTATCCCTACTCCCTTTTATCTTCCCCACAGTGTATGTTCTCTCCTTCCTCTGCTGCCTACCTATCACTCCCACCACATCACTGACTCCTAGGTACCCGGATGGCATCACAGGAGATGGGGAGCAGTCCTCAGTGAGGACAGTTGAGTTGGTTTCTAATGGATTTTACTCAACTCTGACACAATCCATGATTAAGGCCAAAGAATACTGCTTAGAACTGGGTTGCTGCCCTCTTCTTCTGACTAGTCTGGACTTCCTCAGATTCTTCCCCCAATCCTGGTTCCTTAATACTCTGAGTCTTCACTGCTTTTAAAAACAAACGTCTTAATATATGCAAAGGCCACACCCAATAGGCCTTTGTGTTTGAGAAAAAGTCACAGATGCAACCTGGTCTGGTCCCTACTGACCTTTCAGGCTCATGTGGTGCCCTGCTTGTTCTCTGATCTCTTACTACACTGATTGTTTAGTTTCTCAAGCACACTGTGTTCCTTCCTTCTGAGGAGCTTTGATCATGCTGTTCCCCTGCCTGGAACTGCCCCCGCATCTAGTTAACTCCTTTTGTTAGTTATCTCTTCTTATGTAATAAATTACCCCCAAACCTAGCAGTTTAAAATAAAAACTTGTTATCTCACATTTCCTTTGGGGCAGAAATCTGGGATCAGCTTAGCCAGATTGTTCTGGTTTAAGGACTCTCAAGAGTTTACATTTACACTGCCTACCCAGGCTTTAGGGATTTGGAGCTCGAGGATCCCTTTCCAAACACATTCAGGGGCTTCTGGGAGACTTTAGTGCCTCTCAGGCTATTGGTGGGGACCTCAGTTCCTTCCTTGCTGCATGGCCTCTCCATTCCTGCTTAGGTGTCCTCAGGATGTGGAAACAGACTTCTCTCAGAATGCAAGGTGCAGGCTGCAGGGGAGATGACAAAAGAACAGAGGAAAGGAGAGGAGAGGAGAGGAGAGGAGAGGAGAGGAGAGGAGAGGAGAGGAGAGGAGAGCTTCAGTCTTTTTGTAATCTAATCTCAGAAGTAGCAGGCCATACCTGCTGCCATATGCTGTTGGTCACAGAGACCAACACTGGTACCAGCAAGTGGGCACCTCTGGGGCCATCTTGGAGAGCTAGCTTAAATAGAACTTCTTTTCTTTGCTGCATTTTTCTATGACTTTTAAATGAAAAATTGGTCTCCATTAGACTGTATGATTCTTGAGAACTGGTGTCTGTTTTGTGCATGGATTAGTTAGCTTTTGCTGTGGAACATAGCAACTTAAAACTCAGTGGCTGTTCAAAAAAAAGCGCCCATTTATTATTTCTCATGTATCTGTAGGTCAGCTGGAGTTCTCCTGACCTGGAGCAGACTCAGCTGATTTGGCTGGGCTCACTAGTGCATCTGGTATCAGTTATTGGGTTGGCTGGGACTAATGGGTCTAAAATGGCATCTCTGCTGTGTCTGGCAGGTTGCAGACCACTGGCCAGCACAATAAAAGGGGCATACGTCTGTCTGCATTAGCCAACTAGTCTGGGCACGTTCACATGTAGCTACTGGGTTTCAAGAGTAAGAATTGAAAGGTACAAGGCCCCTTGAGGCCAAGATTTGGAAGAAGTATAACATTGCTTCTATCACATTCTGTTGACCTGGACAAGTCACAGGCCAACCCAGATCCAAAAAATGGAGAAATAGGCTGGACCTTGTGTGAGAGGAGTTGCAAGGTCACACTCCAAAGAAGGTCATGCAGCCATTTTTATAAACACACATCACAGTATCTGCAGAGTCTCAAAAGCAAACTCAATAAATAGAGAATTTCTTGAATGAATGAGTTTGAACATTTTAATTTCAGGTATTCTTATTTTGTACCTAGCTTGTCTCCTTTACTGCTAAGCAAACATCTGAAGACAGGAATCTTGTGTTCTTCATGTTTATGACCCCACAACATCTGTTTTTCTTCCAGTACCAGGAATCAAACTCATGACCTTGCACTTGCCAGGCAGGCACTGTGCCACTGAGCTAAATCCCCAGTCCCCTAATTTTATTTAAAAGATTTAGGATATGTCATATACATGTATCAAATACCCAAAATGAATATAAACATTATTTATTATCAATATGGACTATAAATCATAATATTAACAATAATAATGGAAATGGGGAAAGGGATCTAGAGATGGAGGGAAGAAGGTGGGTGGAGATGAGAAGGGGAATAAAAAAGAATCAAGATATGCTATGTACATGTACTGTCTTTCATAGCTGAATGAAATTTTCCTGTATTGCAAACATGTACTAATAAAATAAAA